CGCTGATGGGAAGTAGAGAATAATCTTTGTTGGGCTTTGCTTTCACGCACAGTCTTTGCTTTTGCTATATTAAACTGCTTTTATCTTAACCCATGGGCCTCTCATTATATCTTCCCTCTCCCCTGTCCATCTAGAAGGGTGAGTGACATCTAAAAGGGTGAGGCTTTGGTGAGCTCCTGGCCTCCAATCAGGGCCAAACCACCACACCTGCATTCAAGGAATATTAGCTGCAAATAGAGTGCATTAGCAATATAAATCAGCTCATAGCTTCTTTTTTCTTTTACCTGAAATGTGTGAATAGTTCTGGCCCACGCATGCTTTATGCGACATAGCTTCTTCAGTGCTGCATACTTCACAGTGAAAGTAGAGCCGTATGTGCTGCTGATGGTCAAAAAGCGCTCTTTCTGAATTTCTACATCCTAAAGAAATAGTAAGAACAAGAACAACTTGGCAGTAAATTTGTATCAGCAGTTTGATCAACATCTATATGTCTGTGTGTGTCCACGTGCCAGCTTTCCCTGAAATTACAACAGTCGCAATATCAACCGAGAGAAATGGTTTCCGAAGACACTAAAGGCAAAAAATTGCCGTCTTTCACCGACCACCTGTAAGGAAATCGGTTTCACTGTACAGGGCCTACTCTTAACTCCTTCTGTTTTGTAATAAAAATGCTGAGGAAGGAAGTTTTAACCCCCCTCAAAAAACTTAGGTTATCCTAGGGTACAGCGAAGTAATACCAGTGTTGCCACAAACACAGCCCACTCTCTCCCACCAACCCGGTATGGTTCCCTTTCCCACGCAAATATTGATACTTTCGACTCAATTCACGGAGCCCAGCAGAAAAATACAGATTTTGTGTTGCTGTATTTTTCGTTCAGCTTAGTTTTCTCCCAGACAAGAACTCAAGCTGTAACATCAGCTTTATCCTTTACTTAAGACTATGCTTCTACCTATAGCCAACATATTATGCATTTCAATTACAAGACATTTGGGTATTTACGGAATTTATTTATACTGGACATGAGCAGACCAACTGAAACACATGGTCCCCATGTGTTGCCTGATCTCTATTTACTTCTTTCTCTCTAATTACTAATGACAGGACAAGGGGAAATGGCCTCAAGTTGCGTCAGGGTAAGTTTAGATTGGATATTCGGGGGAAGTTCTTTACTGAACGAGTGGTGAGGCACTGGAACAGGCTGCCCAGGGAGGTGGTGGAGTCACCAACCCTGGAGGTGTTTAAAAAAAGAGTAGATCTAGCACTTGAGGCTATGGTGTAGTGGTTAGGTATGCTGGGATGAAGGTTGGACTAGATGATCTTCAGAGGTCCCTTCCAACCCCTAACATTCTGTGATTCTGTGATCTAGTCGAGAGGTGGCATCCCTGGCGGCAAGGAGGCTCGATTAAAATGATCTCTAAGGTCCCTTCCAGCTTAGGCCATTTTATGACTCTATGATTTTAGGAAAAAAAAAAATCAACAGATTTTTAATTTTTTTTTTAATTCTCTATTGTGAATTGTCTCTTTCCTGCCTTTCACACAATAGTTTAGCAGAAGCACTAAGCATGTATTATGGACTAAAATTGTAAAGTGTGAACTGTTTTGTTCTGGGCATTCAATGAGGACTGAATCAGTTATCACTGAGGGGGTTTTTTGTGCAAGTTCTCGCTGCAAGGACTTACATCTGTTATGAAAAATATATCTCCATTGCACAGCCGTTTGCCCTCCTCAGCAGGCTCTACTGTAGTGAGGGTGGTTTCTCCACTTTCGCATTCAAGGTGACGAGGATCCTCTCCCAAACCACGGTCTGGCAAGAGATCCCTGAGATACGTATTCTGTGTGCAGCAAATCTTGTCATCAATTTGAAATAAAAGTCGGTTTTTATGATCTCTAGACCAGAGAGAAAAAAAGCGAGAAATGTACTTCCCATCTCTCAGTATTTCTTCCCTTTCCTCTCTCTATACTTGGGCCAAATTAAAAACCTTACTAACGCTCAAAAAAATTAACTCACATTTCAAAGATGTTTCCTGAACTTTTGTAAAACCTTTTGGGTTTTTTTTGTAAAAAACAGTGATATGGAGTAGCAACAACATCCTGCTTCCACAAATATTTCAGAATCTATTTAGAAATCATACAGTGGCAAAAAATAATTAACCTTGAGGGTTTTTTCCAAGTTGCTTTTATGTCAATTTTAAATATCCAGCAGCAACTCAAAATCTTGGAATTCACATAACAACATTTTAAATGAAAGGCAAACACGTAGTTTATGTTATCTCTGTTCACAGTTCAGGTTGGGATTAAAGAACCTATAAAAAAAAATTATATGAATGATTTCTAACTTAAATAATCAGATCTAGACAAAACATTAGAAGTTTTACAATCTTATTTTAGGTTGTTGGCCCAGTAACACTTTCATTCACAGGAAAAACTGCAAAATACTGGCTTACCTAGTTACATGATTCGAATAGTGTAGGCAACAAAGTTCATTTATTAGATCACAATCTTGCCTAAATCACACAAAAAAAGAACAAAATCGTGACTGATGTACAAAACATGATTACGTGCAATATTCATTAGCATTACTTTATAAATCATGGAAAAAAGATCATTTTATCTACAATGATCTTCCACCATCACGCACAGGCACTAGGTGACAAGTTCCATCACGCAGCTCAGAATTCACATCTGCCACGATGGGGTATGTTTGGATACAGATATTTCTTTGTTCCTCCTGTAGTCAAGCCCTCAGCTTTCGCTTCTAGAGCGCACTGCACTGGTAGCAAGAGCAGAGCACAGGCTCTCAGAGCATCTACGGCAAAAACTGCGCGCTTGTGTCCATCCTTCATTTCACACAGCACAGATGAACATGAACGCAAAGGCAGAAATCACAGTGCAAAGTTGTATTAAACTTAGAGAGAAAAAAATAAACAACTCTCCACAGAGAGACTGGGGGCAACTAGAAGGTACAGGAAAAATCACTTCCCCTGTTGTTTTCTCTAGTAATTTTATGATATTGCCACTAGTCTCTCCAGCTCAACATGTTCTGCTATTTTTAGACTGTATCTGCCAGCAAGGATTTTTCAATGTCTACCTGCATGTTCTGTTACCTTCTGAAAGCAATGAACTGCGATTGTTTGGCATCCTGCAATCCTGGTCCTTTTTCAAGTAAAGCCTTTATGGCAATTTGCAAATCTGTTTTAGAAAACATAAAAAGAAAGGCATAAAAATATGCAGATCAAATAATTTAAGAAAGAAAACTATAATTCAATATGAAATTGCCTTCACTTATGTGTTGCTTCAACGATGTTTTAACTTGTTTAAAATATCAACAAAATAAAACCAACACACAAAAACATCCCCTCCCTTGAAGAAAACAAACCCACACCACAAAACTCCCCCCAAAAAGTATCATGCAGTTATCCCACTATTAAAATCTGACAGACCAGAGTGCTATGAAGGCGAGAAATTCTTATTTCTCTGTGTTAAACAGCTGCATTCGGTGCATTTCATGGAAAATAGGGTTTTGATATAGCACATCAAAGAGGTAAAGACAGAACCTTTTTATATACATTTAAATGTCACAGCAGAAACACATTTTTAGTATTCTGTTTGCTGAATAAGTTATTATAGGTTTTTTCCACATCACCCCTGCAGCTTTTTGATGCATATAGAGTAGAGGCCACTCAATCCATGTATCCAATAAAGGTAAAAAAAACCCAAACCAATGGACTAACTCTTGATTCAAAAACATCATTAAACATTAAAAAAAAAAATCCTGGCATCCCCTCTGCCGCCATTTTCTTAACTTGCTTCTAAAGTTGGGAGCACATCTCTGCTGCCCAACACACCATCCCGTTACAGTTGCTGTTCACTCAAAGGTTTCACCTCTGAATACATTTTAATCTTTTACGGTTATGCAGCTCCAGCTACAACGTAAAAAGATGATTACATTTGATTACACTGGTGAAAGCTCTTATCAACTGTCATTTCAGAATGTAACTGGTGATCTGGAATTCTACAATATATCCTGTGCAGTCACAAGCCTTACTGTGTGCACTTGCAGAAGAATCTAGCATTTAAACTTATACTACACACTAAAATCTTCCCAAAATGCTAGTTTTAGCCAAATAGCCTATGCTTTACCAAAGGGAAACTCAAGACCACAACACATACTGTCACAACTCCCACCAGGAGGCAAAGCAATAAGAATGAATTTCTTCTCTGGGCTTGGCATTATCATTTCCTCATTCCGACCAGGAACTTTCAGCACCTCGTCAAATTCAGGAAGCTTCCGTTGAGAGATTCTTGACCAGAGCAGTGGAGGGAAAACAGAAAAGAGAAATTATTTCCAGTTAAAGGATTCCAACTGCATCTTCATCTGCATCAGCCTGAAGTTTGCCTTTTACAAATTTTTGGTCATCTACACTACATACACCAAAAACTCTTTCTTTTGAACATAACTTAATTTCACATTAAAAAAATGATACGCTCTTCAGTATGCAGTAGGTACTACGTATTGCCCATACAGCTCTTCTCATGGGAGCAGACTGGAGTAACATAGAAATGTTACCAAAAAACCCAAACAACCGTGTTACAAACAAAAAAAAATAATCTTGCAAATATTCAGGATGTTCTCAAATTCCAAAGAACACCAAAAGATCTTGGACACTTGGATCTAGATTTTGTTGTTTGAGGTTTTCTTTTTAGGAATCATGCACTAACAGTAAACTGGATTATTTCCAGACCAAAAGTAACACAAATGTTGGAAACATTTAGAGGTTAGGTATTAAAATATCAAAAAATAGAAAGAAACTGCAATTTAATGGCCCTGGACATTTAAACTCTCAATAAAATTCAACCTGTTTTAGCCGTTTTCACACTTACCAGCAAAGTCTTTAAAAATTCCTTTTTAGAGAAGCAATTGTAAGTCATTTCAGAAGGCATAACGTGAATTGTGTATGCACAACTCATTTGAAAACAACAGAGAGTATCTGACAGTGAAACATGTTGCACAGAACTCAAGAGTATTCCAGCACACATAATTTTTTTGTCTAACACATATACTTCCGGAAAATTTATTGGGTTTTATTGCTGTTGTTTTTGGGAGTTGGCTTTTTTTAAAACCAGTTACTGATTTTGAATAAGACACTGTAACAGAAGCAATACTAGAGAGTCCAATCTGGATGTAGCACTATTTTACAGGTAAAGGACAAGGCCTACTACAAAAATGCTTCTTACATACCTAAGAAAATCCTACCTTGATGCATTATCTATGATTAGTTGCGATTCAGCTCTGTGATTAGTTTGCAGTTCCACAGAAAAGCCTCTTGATTTTAGACCCTCAAAGACATCAGCTAACATGTTTCCTGGGTGTATGCTCGGCAGCTGTCTAGTATCACCTAAACAGAATGCAAATTATTTGTAATAAACAGTAACAGATGATCTGTTAAAAATTGTCTTCAAAAAATAAATTAATACTGCAATCAATACATACTCAACTCTCTACATATTGACATGCCTTTTCAATACAACTCACGAGAAATAAAACTTCCAAGAATCTAAAAAACTTTGTTTGGAGAATCAGGCTGTAGCATAGTTTAAATTTTTCATATCTCTCACTCAATAATGCTTTACTAGCAAGCACAAATCACTCTGCATGATGAACACTGACAGCAATCACATCTTATTCAAATACATTTTGAAAGCTACATATTTAAAAACAAATGCCATAAATGGCATGTCAAAAAGGAAACCTCTGAGAAAGCAGAAGTTGTAGATTTTTACACTTGTTTTCCTTTCTAAATTAAAACAGCATGACACAAAACCTCCCTCCCAACACATGATTAATATGCTAAGAACAGTTTCTTTAAATTTAAGGAAATCGGAAAAGTTTTCCAGCTGCAAGATGTCATAAGCTGCCACAAAGAATTTGCAGTACTTTCAGAATCAGATAAAACGCTGCTAAACAGAGAATGAGGACACTGAGCTGACCACTGAGATGGAAAATCCTCTCTCATCTGAGCTTATAAATAACTAGAAATAATAGAAATAAATAGAAATAATATTTAGAAATACCCAAGTACAGAAAGATGTAACATTCTGGGGTTTTTAACAGACCCAGCGAGACCAGTGGCAGCTCTGATACTTACACTGTATACTGTGTATTATTAAGTACTGTTTAATGCTAAATTTGTTGTTTGACTTACCTAGAATAATAAGCTTGGCAAGCTGAGCATGCTTACACAAGATTTTTAAAACTAAAGCAAGTATGGGTACAGACACCAAACTTCCTTCATCCACAACCAGAATCGTCACAGTAGAAAACTTCCATGGCTGTACTTGTTCAGTTTGCCTCCAAGATTTAAAACTATAGATGATCTAGAAACAAATCAAAATAATCAAGCTCTGACATTAATCAACTGTAAACAACTGTCTTATGAAATCGGTCAGACTGTGGTATCTTCTAATGTTGCATTTAGAGCTATTACCTGAAATTCTGAACTTAAACCTGCAAAGACTGAAGACAACTCAACCATTTGGTCTTATTTTCCTCCTTGGTGAATACCTTTCCAGCTGAGATTATAATGCTCACTTAAATAAAAGCACAGAAATGTATCCTTTTTTTCTGCAGAGACCCTAAAGGATATAAGGTCAGCCACTAGGCTGCTCAGTAACTCCTACTACAACTTGCTGCCAATAGCAAATCCCTAACACCGCACGGGGAACAGGCAACTATCCAGTTCCCAAAGATAAAATAAGCTGACATTACTTTTTACGTTGTTATCATTTTGATTTACACAGATTATTCCACACCTCCGACATCTTCTTGGCACCTTTCCTTACCACGCACAACAGAGATTTGACGTAACTTTTTTAACAAAGAGTTTGCTCTCTCCCTTTTTTAAAAAAGATTTGCACAATTGTTAATAGTATTAAGAAAACACTGTGTGATTTAAATTTATTTCATTATTCAAACTCAAGCTACTGATCTCTTCATGTATGAGCAGGTATCAGTATGATTGCTAGGCAACAACAGAATACTAGAAAATAGCTCAGTATTTCTGTTCTAATTAAAAAAAAAAAAGGCTAAAGAGACCAGATGCCCTAGAAAGACACAAATTTAAGATGTGTGTAAGCAGAAAAAAAATCTCAAAGTTACAAAAAGTAGTGTATTTGAAATGATTGATTTATGATTGTCCAAAATGTAATGCTGACTTTCAAATACTGACAAGCTGTACCCAAGGATTAATATTAATAGCTATACATTTCATAAAGGTTCAATAATAACTTTTTTTTTCTTTTTCAAAACAAGAACAGACCATGCAAAAAGGTCTTTCAGAACACAAAAGAAAAAAAAAAACAAACCACCACCTCCTTACCTGATGCAGTGTATATGCTGGAAGCTCAGTCTTTTCACGCAAAAGGCTTGCTGCCCTCCCTGTAGGTGCAGTAAATAGCACATTCAAACATTTTTTTGGGAACATATTCTCTGACTCCCACTCATGATCAAAGGTATTCCATTCCTCAGATCCACCTAGGTCTTTTTCAAAGTCCCTAGAAGCATCTTCCACTTCTTTTTCCATGTGCTTTAAGTGACGAAAAAGGCAACTAACTATTGTACTCTTCCCACAGCCTCCTTTTCCACTTATGATTGTGACAGGATTAGAACAAATCTTTTCCACAGCCATCACCTGATCTAAGTCTATCTCTGGTTTCCTGTCGGTACCAGACATAGATCCAATTTCCTTTTCAAGAAAGTGATTTTCACAATTCTTATTGTCTGGACTATTTTCCTTCAGATGTTCCATTTCATGAGCCTCGGTAACATTTGTTTTGTTATCTACCATTACTCTTGACATCTCAGAGGCACTAAGTATCTTTCTCACATCAACATCCAGTTGCCATGAGTGATTTGACAGAAGGTCACCTATACACATAGCGATGTCTTTTTCAGATTTGTAAAGATGAGGCAGGAACACTAGTTTTTTCTCTCTAATCACTACATTTTGATCTTTCAAAAATTCAAGAGATTGCCAAACATGCTCAATGGACATATCCTTAGATACAAAACGTGCCAATTCATCTTGATCTTCATAAGTGTGTCCCATTTCTCTACAATGCCTCTTGAGGTGATCATACAGAATTAGTGCATTCTTCTGCAAGTTAGGAATCTTCCAGAGGAGATGGTCACAGTGACAGAAGGCGGCCCACGTTGCCTCACAGTAAGAAAGGTTCAGTTCCCTATAGGTAATCTTCTCCCCAAAAAGAATAAAAGCAAACATATATTTCAGATGTTAGCCTTTTGATGAAAAACGTTCCTCCTAGTAAATACGAACTGCAATTCAAAGGGTAAAAGCCTACCAAAAAATATGTATAATTCATAATGTATTTGCCAGGATAAAATTGAACAGGACAAGCAAGGGTTTTAAATTAGCTTTCTTACTTTTGGCCCAGTTACCTCAAAGATTTAATTCTCTGCTCCTTGTAAAAAAGACTAAACAAATGGTTTTAACAAAACTGCTTTTTAAATCTTCTGAGATGAATTTGGAAAAAACAAACCGCAACACTTACCTAAAAAAAAACAAACATAAACAAACCAACAAACTGTTCACTAAAACTTAGTCCAGTACACCATCCATTTCCAAATGAACTAAGCTTACCTCCTACAAATGCCCAGTTAATAAACTGAATGTAACTGAAACAGCACTGTATTATAATGAATCACAGAATGTTAGGGTTTGGAAGGGACCTCAAAAAGATCATCTAGTCCAGCCCCCCCGCCAGAGCAAGATCACCTACAGTAGGTCACACAGGAACGTGTCCAGGCGGGTTTTGAATGTCTCCAGCGGAGACTCCACACCCTCCCTGGGCAGCCTGTGCCAGTGCTCTGCCACCCTCACAGTGAAAAAGTTTTCCCTAATATTTTTGCGGAACCTTCTATGTTCCAGCTTGTAGCCATTACCCCTTGTCCTGTCATTGGACATCGCTGAGAGGAGCCTGGCTCCATCCTCCTGACACTCCCCCTTGACGTATTTATAAACATGAATGAGGTCACCCCTCAGCCTCCTCTTCTCCAAGCTGAAGAGACCCAGCTCCTTCAGCTTTTCCTCATAAGGGAGATGTTCCACTCCCTTCATCATCTTTGTGGCTCTGCACTGGACTCTCTCCAGCAGTTCCCTGTCTCTATTGAGCTGAGGGGTCCAGAACTGGACACAATATTCCAGATGTGGCCTCACCAGGGCAGAGTACAGGGGGAGGAGGACCTCATAATGAGGCTTAAATGTTACAAACACCACATTTTTTACCCTGCTTAACATTACTTACCCCGCTGAATCCAAGTTTCCATGGCTCGTTCTTTAATATTTCATCCAATTTTATTAGCATCTTGTCTTGAAAATGTAGTTCCTCACCATCCATACTATTGTTTTCTTCAGTTTTTCTCTGCCAACACATCATATCCAACAGAGAGCAAAAATGGCGTGGCAGAAGAATTGGCAAGAACTCCAGTATCATCGGAAAAGTCAGAGCTGCCAATACCACCTTTCCTGCAACTGTACGCACCATAAATCAAAAAAGTTTTAACCAACATATAAAGACATTTGTAAAGCAACCCTGGCTTTTGTCCTTCTGCATCCCCTACGCCCTAAACATTCCAAATTTCCCTCAGGTTCTTATTCGTTGTAATCTTTTTCAAATTCTTTCAAAGCCTGTTTTCCCTGATCTGCCTTGGGAAAAGCAGTGTAAATAGATGACATAAAAACTTCAACTAAATGGACTCACTGGAAAATATGTATCATACAATTGGTTTAAACTGCATGTTCAATACCATTTTGTAGAAAGTCAGTTCAGATCTCACCATGCCTGTCTCTTCCCTAAAGATGATTTTAACGCAAAAGTACGGAAGAATGTTTAAAATCCAAAATAAGACATGAGGCTTATAAATTTGTAGTATCCGATCAGTAGAAGAAAACAGTGTTCTCTGTTGGCTTTCTCAGTGACCCCAAACTTAAAGCTACCACTTTCCCTGTGTCAGTTTGGGAATCTGCAAAAGGGGGATAATGAAACTGATCTGCTCTATACTTTGCTTTAAAAAACAAACTTCAGAAGAAAATTAAACTCATTTCAGAAGAAAATGAAACTTTTAAAAGTTTTATCTCTTGCCAAGAATAAAAAAGTAACATTTAATTAAGTGTTAAGGAAACTTCATCATTCCAAACACAAAGATCAATTTTTCTCAGTCAAGTACTTATTCTGATCACTGTTTTACCTTCAAAAAGGCAAAGATAAAACTTCTTCCCTTTAAACCAAGTACTTATTTTACATGTGGAGAATCAACACAAACTATTTTCACAAAAAATATCACAAACACCTGAAAAACAAACTGCTCAAGTCGATAACAATGACAAACAGACAACAATCAAAATAGTAATAGTAGCAACATGACATATAGGGAGTGGGTTGTTGTTTCTACTGCCCAATGATAGAGAAAGAAGAAAGTTTAATTTGCAGCAAAGTAATTTAAGTCAGATATTAGGAAAAATCCGCCAACTGCAAGAACAGTCAACAGGATACCTCGATACACCATGCAGTCTTCCACCTCGATGATTCATGGATATAATGCGCAAGCCTCAAAAGTGATCCATATAGCCTATTAAAACTCAAGCGGTGAACTAAATCTAAGTTTCTCTGACTATTGATTCTCATCCCTTTGTGGTCATGAAAAGATTTTAAGTCCATCAACAAGGGTTACATACTTTTCTACTATTACAAAAACAGAAGAAAAAGCCTGAAAGTCCATAGAACGGTTAAAATTTTCTTTCCCTTACACATGTCATTTGGAGTAAAGTCAGCTCAAGTCTAGCAGAAAGTCTGAATTCACCTGTTAGACACGATACAACCTCCAAAATAGTCAGCTCCATCTTTTGACCTGGCACTGCCCAGTAAACCAGGTACTGCAAGACTTCATTTGCTTGCACATACCAGTAGATACACCCAACCTGTTTGTAAAGATTAATGCACAGCTGTGGCTGAATTTAAAGACCTACTCCCACAGCACTGACACCTAAGGGTCTCTATACAGCCACAACCCAGGACTGCTCATCCTCATGAGGAACATGGTACAGTAGAGACCAATCATTGGAGCAAAATAGGAGAGCTAGTGCTGAAGACACATCTCAGACATCTTGACTTCAGGTATTTTAGTTTTGTTTCATACCAGCTATAGTTTGGTCCCACAGACTGAATGACTTAGGTGTGCAGTTGGAACACATTT